CCAAGCAGAGGAGATACTATAGTTGTCCCCCAAAGGGACCTATTTTCTTTTCTTTGAAAAACATAGGAGTTGCCATCTTGACTTAGCCAGTTGAATGAAGCCCCAGGTTAAATGTTCAAGCCCTCAGGAGGCCTGAAATGGCCCATTTCCCAACTCCCGGTGGGACAGAAAGTGACGTTTTTTGCTGTCCTCAGCCTCCTGAGCTTCTCTAGGAGGCTCCTGAGGGCCTCCGAGGGAGTGGGAAAGGCTGTTTTTGCCCTTCCCAGATGTATAGAGGATCTGGAACCAGGTAAGAAAAAACAGGCCTTTCCCCCCAGGCCCTCCGGAGGCAGGAAACAGCCTGTTTCCCTACTTCTGGTGGGCCCAGAAGGCCCAAAAATCAGCTGGCTGGCGCGTGTATGTGTGCCAGGGCTGAGCTGGCATGCCCACTGATATGGCTACGTGTGCCACCTGTGGCACGCGTGCCATAGGTTCGCCATCACGGATCTATATCATTAAGAACTTAATCCAGTTAATTATTCTATACATTTTAAATTGAATCAATCCCAATAATATGCTGACTGACCAACAAGAATGTTGAGGACGTCAACAAGATATGCTTCTGTCATAGTATTGTATTAAGTTCTTTTCCATGCTCAGCTTTTGTTTAATTCTCTTTGCCGAAGAGAGCTCCCTTTGCCTGGGCCCCTTGAATTTTTTCAATCATACTGATTTTGTTAGAAATTGTTGAAAATGTAGCGTTCACCAAACTTGCTTTAAACTTAATCTACACCACTCACCCTAATATCTTACTTATGGATGATAAAATTGACACTAATTTTAGCAAAGATTATGAATGCAGATTTAATGAATAATGGTTTGTTTTCTATGCTGGCCCTTAACAACACCCTTGAGGACAAGAGTCTAATATGGTGTCATGTGGGGCGCATTTTCAGGTGTTTTCGTCCATCTGGTATTTCGGGACAGATGGACGTTTATACCTTGACTGCGTATAAACAAGTCCATTCAGCTGCGCAGTAGGTCATGAGAGAAATCTTCCCTTTTTGTTCACACAGAGCATCTCTCTCCAGCTCACTGTCCCCACTCAAATGCCAATCTTCCCCCCTCCCCGTTACTATGGCAGCCAATAGTAAGCAAGCATCATAGAGGCTGACATATGGGACAGAAGTATCTCTGCAGCATATTTACAGAAATCTTGTGCTTTCTGCCACCTACTGCTCAGTATCAATCCTGCAATTTCAACATTCTAAACTCCTCAGAATAACATAGAACTTAACTTTCTTACTTGGCTACAGATATTCAGGGTCAACCTAAAGGGACTTGGTCACTTTTCCATTCTAGATGTTGCCCAACAACTCAGCAAACTCACTGGTTAGGTCTGTAGTAAAATTCCTCTAGAAACATCAGGTGAGAATAGAATTGTTTGCCACTTATTGTGGGGATTAAAATAGCATAAAATCCAAAATTCAGCCAGCTGGAAATAGAGCATATGCTGTTGCTCTCTGTAGTTCGAAGTTTGAATACAATAGTCCCAAAGTCCTTAAACCGTACTATGATATTCTATTGCATCAACATTAGTCAAGCCATTGTGGGGCAGTCCTGAGAATTTGGAGTAGCAGTGGGGATAGACCAATGTGAAATCCTCCGGGGTTTGCCACAGGTTCGCTTCCCGCACATGCGCAGTGCGCACCAAACATGCGCTGTGTGCATGCATTTGCAGTGCGTGCCAAACGCATGCTGCACACGCATGCTCAGTGCACACCAAACACGCTATGCACACATCTGCAGTGCGTACCAAAGGCACACTTCACGTGGAAAAAAGAGTCTTAAGAAGGTATAACAGCGAGGGTGGGGGGGAACAGCTGTGCCGCACAATTTAGATTTGTTAGAAAGAAGGATTTCCTGCTTTCTAGTGAATATAAATAGTGCAGCACAGCTGATCGTTGGAAATATCAGTTCAGACGAACAAGTAGCTTTTTTTTACTAGAGATTCGCCCAACCGGTAGCTTTTATTACTACCGGTGCGAACCAGTAGCATTTCACCCTTGGGACAGACCCAGGTTCATGTCTTTCCTCAATCATGGAAATGCTCACTAGATAACTGATCTAATCACAGCTATGTAGCTATCTCATAGAATACATGGAAATATCTGAGGATGAAGTATAGTTTGACACTCTGAACTCTCTTTGACACAACATTCATTTTAGTAGCCATTTCTGAATTATTTGTTGTATGTTGTAATGATTGAAATATGTGCCAATGATCATACAATGATCCACTGAAATGCTGCTACTGAAGTTGATGTTTTGTAGTATCAAAGCATATTGGTGGTTGACCTGTGATTAGTATTAATATTTCAGAAAGAGAATTATGCAGTATAGCCAGGAAAAGCTGTACAAACAGTAATAAATCCAAATAAAAATTATTGTCTTTAGTTCATGATTTTAATTCCCAAAGTATGAAAGCAAAACTAATTGGAAGTGATTACCAAAGAACTGGATCTTAACAATAAGTATAAGTATATTTTTTGTTTATGAATAATTATATTTAAGAAGAAATTGCATAGATCTTATAACTGGAAATACATCAATATTTATAATTCAAAGTTTACAACATCTAACTGAAAAGAAACATTCAACCTTAAATGCAAAACAATATGTAATGATCTATAAATAAGGCATGTTATTGATTCAACTGTGAAATTCAAGGGGCACTTGGAAGGAGGAAGTAAGTTATCTTGGATTTTTTTTTGGAATACCTTATTGATTAGTATTTTCCAGATTTAAGGCTGTGCATAGTAGATCTAACTTCTCATAATTTTGGAAATTTTAATATTCACCACGTATTCAGCTGCCAATTGTATTATGAACATAAAATATTTATTAGAAGAGGACTCACATGGTTTATCATGCAGTGTGAAATATCCTGTATATAATGAAATACCAAATATCTATTCATGAAGATAAATCCCCAAAACATGAATACCTATATCAAAATGACTGGGACTCAGGAGATTTGTATCAACACAGAACTGATTAAAGAAATCCAAAAACAAAACCAGCTATTCGTACAATGAATAGAAAACATAACACAGAATTGCAGGTTCAGAAGTCTGTAAGAGCATCTGTTAATGTGCTTGTTACATACCAGACTAATCTCAGCCTCCTATATATTATTATACAAGTAATGCAAATTAGGTTTCTACTATTATCAAAGATGATTTACATGTAAACTTTGATACCAAAGGAGATTTCCTTTTAGAAGCAAATATTTATATACCATTATCTCCAGGATATAGCTTTATTTCCTTTTAAATAGTTTTTAAGCATGATTAAATAAATTCAGTTTTTATAAATTGAATGCATTTCCATAAACATAATTGAATCACATTATTTATATAATACTTTGTTTTACTGTAGATAGATAGATAGATAGATAGATAGATAGATAGATAGATAGATAGATAGATATGCATACTTTTGACTACCATCTTAAGATTTTCATGAAAACAAATATTTTAAAAGCTAGTAAAATTTTAATTAGCCTTTCACTCATTATTAAGATGTAAAAATTCAAGGAGACAAGGCACAAAAATAATCCAGGTGAGTTCAAAATGAATGTATTGAGGAAAAAAGCTAATACAATTGTATAAACTGAACAGAGAACTTTTTACTTTGATAGCTTTGATACTTTTAATTTAATTTAAATCTATATTGATATTAAGAAATATGAGCAATAATACTGAAGCTATAACTGGGGGGATAAGATGCACACTTATTTTCACTGATCCAGCTTACTGTGTACTATGAATGGGATTTTGCAATCTTCTGTAAGGATTCTTTATGTATGCTGGACTTCTCCATACATGATTAACAATCAGTTGGACCATTCTGAAGTTACGGGCAGTTTGCCTCTCTCTCATCTTGAGAAAGCTAGACTTTCTCAAGCACTGTTCTAGTTGGCTGGGATGAATATGCAAACCAGCTGGCTGGTACAACAGAATGGGCGTTCTAAATAGCACAAATCATTTTATGGGAAGTTAAATTTATTTCCTAATCTTTTCTCCCAATAGTTGATAAATATTATTTAGGTATGTAGTTAGAGTTTATTGCAAGGAAACACTTCATAGAAAATAACACAGTTTGATTGTCTCTTGTTATAGCAACAAGTGATGTGAAAGAAGTCTTTCCTTCCACTTTTTGGACTTGTGCCGAAACAGTCATCTCAACAGCTAGCCTTTTTTTGAACAAATTATTTGAATGATCCTGTAAGTTCTGTATTTATGTTTCCCTCTTTGAGGAATATGGACGGTTTACAAATATGAAAACTAAAATAAATAGATGTAGTCAACAAAACTGGATCCAAAAAACTATTCATGCATTCGAAAAATTAATAGTGTTTCAGAAATCTCTGGTTCAATTAAATTATCAAATATCTACATTGTCCCAAAAAACAAATATATCCATTAGATATACAAAGTACATAGTGAGAAGGATGGAGTCAATGGCTAACAAAATTGCTTAGATATTTCTATTTTCCTACATGGTGCCAGGAAACAAAGTTTCAGTGTGACCTACAAAGGCAAAAACCTGCTTTTACATGTTACATCCAAACAAACAAAAATGTTCTTGTCAAAATATGTTCTTTAGCCAGGCTCTGTTACAGCTGTAAGTTATTCAGTGGCTTTAAGTGCAAAACTTTGGCAGTGTGAAAAATACAAAAATTCATCAATACTAGAAAGTGATAATAATGTGAAGTCTGATCCTTCAAGCAATGTGGTATACATTGATTTCAGAGCAAAAGATCAGATATTTAATTACTGTCTGTGTGATATGTGTATTACATACGATATACACATATGGTATCAACACACGGGAGCATATCCACTTCTAATATATGCATATAGAATGGCTCTTCAATAAACTTGAGTTTTTCATTTTGAGGTGCGTTATTTACAAAATGCTGCTTTAATTAACAAGAAGACAATCACATCTGAAGATTAAATAATGCATCTATTTAATGCCTTTAAAAATGGGCATTTGAATCCAGGTGAATTTAGCAATGACTCTTCCAGAGGGGATTAAAGTACATCCACCCATCGCCCTGAAAAGAATTACAGAAATTGCAGGTTAGCATCTATATTAATATAAGAACTTGTCAAAAATATAATAATAAATAAAGTGGTAAGATCTCAGTTAAGAAAATACCAACGGCATCCAAAATATTTTTTTACATTCTTCTGGCAATATTTTCCAGTTATGTAAATTGAACACACTACTTAGTTCTTAAAAATTCAGATTTTTGTTTTTTTATTTATTCTCTTTTAGCATCATCTTCTTAACAGAAAACTTAAAAAGGAAATTATAGCTCTAGATGTTCAGCATAATTGTAATAATGACTAATAATACAGCCTGCTTTGAAAAATCTTAATATCAAAAATAAGCTGTCATACTGGATGTATATTCCAAGAATACAATCCCCTACAGAAGAATATTTTAGCTTTTCATATTTCACTTTTGCTTCTCTGAATTAAAGCTACTCCACTGCCTCAAGATAGGGCTGCTAGATGTAAGCTATAAAAAGCTGGATGATTAATTCATTTCTTTACTGTCAATGGCTGTCGAGATTTGTGTAGCCTGGCTCTCATAGACCTATTTAGAACCTTAATGTTCTGGGTTTACTCCAAATTTAGATGTAGGATTAGAGGTTAACACAAATAGATTTTCAAAATTCTATTCAACAGTCTTCCTGGCTCTTGAAAATGCTAGACAAATTGGAGAGACTTGCTGAATGGTTTAAATCCAAAGTTGCTAGCATTGCTTCTCACCAGGTTTACTAATGTCTGATTTTTTTAAAAAAATGAAAAACAGAAAAATGGCTGGTGCAAAACAAATCTCCAGGCTCAGACATAATTACTACCAAGAATGCCTCTGGGCCTCAAATGAATGGCATAATCCTGCAATCCCATAGTTTTGTGTGGGAGTATGCCCACATTCTAAGAAACAAAGTAAAATCAGCAAGGATGGCACCTTCCATGACAGCAGGCATCGGAGAAGTAGCATTCTGAGAAATCAATGTTTTGTAACTTAGCAATTCTTCAAGTAACATTTTGCCAGAATACATGTTCCACAAACACCAGATATATCCAACTCAAAAAAGGGACACTTAGCCTGGATAGTTAAAAGAGAAGAGGTAGCCCTGGGACATGGTTCTACTAAACATTCATGAATCGGTTCCATTACACTACAGCTAGCCCCATTCAATTCAGCCCCCAACTGTCTGTCCAGTATTTGCAAAGAGCCTGCTAGGAGAAAACAGTTACAGGGCAACCAGTTCCATTGCACAATCTACATCTAAATCTAACCATCCACCAAAACACAAGTTGAATTGACTGGAAAGATATTCAGCAACATGAGAATAAGCTAGTCTCATTGTGCGAACTCATCAGGATAGTTTATTATTTATCTTGGCAGTAGAGTTGGCATCACATTTCAGCATGGGACACAATAATAATAAAAAACTTCTATTATGGTGGCAAACCCACTAGTGGTTCTATCCAGCTCATATTTCTCCTCAATTTCTATTCTTTATATAGCATCCAAAATTTCACTCAAAAGCTGATAGCTAAAATGTAGTCATTTCTAACATGTTACAGCGTTATAGTTCTCCGTGGGCCTGCGGGGGGGCAGGGAGTGGGGGTAGACAGGCCAAAATGGAGCGTGGGAGGCCGTACGTGGCCCGTTTTCAGCCTCTGCTGGCCAACAAGAGTGCTGCAGGAGGCCATGGAGGCAAAAAATGGGTTACATGGGGGCTGCACTCAGCGCCCCCCCCCATGGCCTGTTTTGGCACCACAGGATGGTCCTTTAATATTTCCAGGCCGGCCCCGCGGGCCAGATTTAAGTACCCCGTGGGCTGGATCTGGCTCGCAGGCCTTGAGTTTGACACCCCTGGTCTAAACAGTTGTATAATTAAGAAAGACGTTCAAAATTCAAAAGTCATAAAAGTATTCAAATGCAATGATTTCTGTTGTCTGTTATCTTTTCCATTACCTCTTTGATAAAATATTTTGGTTTCCAAAGTGTGTTACTAGTTGCTCGTTGCCTCTCCTCTTTTCGCTGTCTCTCCTCAAGGACATGCTTATGTTCTGTTGCCACATCAATGTCACCTTCCTTCAGGGCAGCAGTGACATGTTGCCATAAATGCCTTAGATAGAGAAAGAATGAGAAGGCTTGATTTGAAAGCAAACCTGTTGTAAAAGAGCTATAGTCTTGCCTATTGGTTTGCATGGAAGGCAACTCATTGATGAAGTCCACTAAAGCCCTGAGGAGATAGGATCAAGCCATAGCTGCCAGTGTGGAAATACTTTTTTAGAAAAGTACAACTAAGCACAGCACTCCAACAACTTTGTTAAAAAAGGGGGGGGCAAACTTCGTATGAAAAGCAAGCTTTATACAAGTGTACTAATTTTTAATGTTAATAAAATTAAATATTAGTAATAAGTTGGTAATATTAATTTTACATTGCAGTAGCTGATAATCTAATATTATATGGTTGGACTTCTGCTTATCACAATTTTTATTTACTTATTTAGGATGTGTATATGGTTGCCTATTTTACACATGTATCTGGGCAGCTAACAATGGAAAACAAAAACGTTTAGTTATCTAAAGCACTTTTTCTTTTCTTTTTCTTTGAACCAAAATGTTTAAGAGTAGATACTGACTCAAGAGACTTCTACAACATTTCCTAGAACTATTTCTTTTCCAAAAGTTTTTTTAAAAATCAAGTAAGGCATGACCCTCAGATTTGCCATCTGGAGCACCTACTAAAAATAAGGGACATGAATGGAAGAATAAACAAAGTCTTATATCTGCTTGCTCCAACCTGAGCATTTACAAACTATTAAGTATACTGGTGATTAAAATGAACTACAGGAAATTATTAAACCATGAAGAATACTGATATTGAAAACATATCATTAGAAAAGGCTAAACTTATCAACTGTCTTGTTTAGAACTGTCATAAATTTGTTCTCTCTGGAAACCCCATACAATCTTTTGACATCTTTTATATGGCTCAATTTATTCCATAGCAATTAATTAAAAATATTTTCAGTTCACCTACAATTAGTTTTATGTAGTCTTATGTATTGTTGAATTCCTTATGAGTAGCCTTTACTCATAAGAAAATCCACAGGAAAGTAACCCTGAGCCATTTTGGCTTAGAGCATGGAAGATTACGTCTATCTGGCAAAACCATGTGCTTAGAAAAATCTTTTTAAAAATCTTTTAGAAAAATGCTGTTTACAAAGAAACCCACTCTTTGATTAGCAATTGCCTTAAATATAATTAAAAGGGATGAGATTTCACCAAAATAATTCCACCTTGATTCAAAAGGGCCTTGTTTTGATATTGGTCTGATCTTCTTCCGGATTATAGGTAATTTGGTGGTATCAATTACTTTGGTTTCACCATTGCTATATGTGAATTCCAGAATGCCATTCCACTCTCCTTGTGCTTTACATACTATGGTATTGGTTGGATTATGCTTCACTTCTGCTGTAACCCTAATATAAATAATAAAGGTTTAAGATTACTGACATTTGAATATACCCTAAACACTTCACCATAACAAATTCAGAAAGATGAGATTATGATTTTGTTTTTTAAAAATATATGTCATATATACTTTTGAAGTAGACAGCATTCTTGATATAAATTCAGTATGATTTAACTTAAATTTTTAAAAAAACAATTCTTCATTACAAAATATTGATCACATATTGATCGGATGCAATGGAGAACACAGAACAATGAATTCCACACTTCACTGTATTCTAGTTCAAATGTATCTTTACTTCAAATCCATGCACATTTATATATAAAAAGTTATTTATATATTTAAAAAGTCATAACCAATTGCAGAATTGTAAGCAATAAACAGTAGACCAATCAATATTTTGTGCCTTACTATTTTCATAGATTAATCCAAGGAGAGAGCAAAACTTAGTTTTGATACCTGTGTAGTTTTCCTCCATAAAATGGCTTGGTGTGGAATGTGACCGTAGCAGAGTAACCACTCTTGGCACAGTGAATATTGACTTTGCCTCCAAGCTCCACCCAAGGAATAGTAAGTATTGAACGCGCATAGGCACAAGGCAATGTGAATATATATTCCTCCCCATGTTCCAAGAGATAAAGAATGCCTATGGATATGAAGGGAGAAGAGATCAGCATTCAAAGATTTGAAGAAACATGATCATTGTTAAAATGTATGCTTAAACAAAACAATTTGAGAAAGATGAAATATTAATCTTCCTTGTAACCTCTTTTGAGAGGAAAGAATGCAAAGACTGGTGCAGGTAATGATAACAAATTTTTGCAATTGAGCTTTTGTTGAATCAACTTCAGCTATTGGGCTAGCCATTCAATTACACCATTACAATGAATGGCGGTTACATGGATTTGCCGACTGTAATAGGACAGCCTTGGAATGTTGTCTATCATGACTGAATATAACATTTTATAATCATATAAATATCCATGATTAGGATGCAATATCATACATGACATAGGACAGGGATGGACAACTTACATAAGTATCTAAAGACCATCAGCTTGCCCATCCTTACAATAGGAAATTCAAAGGAGATATCTTAACAAATAAGAGATACTATCAATCCTATAGGGCTCATTAATCTCAGAAGGTGCCGCTGGATACTTAAAGGCTGTCATTCTGTGAGGTATTAGAAAATTTCATCTTCTCCCCTTTGCAAACTATAAATGTAATTACTCCCTTATACTAATTGAAGGACCCTGGATAGATATAAAGTTAGAGTCCCTAAATGTATAATAAATGTAAAATCAAATGGAGATTCTTAGCAGATAACAATGCTATGTGAATGTGTAGACAGAGGGAACCTAACCCATCAGATGTGTCGGCTACTACCAAAAATATGTACCAATAATAACTTATTTTTGGACAACAACAAAGCCAAGAAGATGGCTTCATTCTAGCAGTTTAAAGTTTGATCTAGACACAGAGGAAGAAAAGGAATATAAGAGGAGGTGCACTATATATAAGAAATAATTACAGTACACCTTTACAGAAATGCAACAGAATAATGGTAAAAACCTTGAATGCATTTGGATTAATATAAAAGGAAAAAAGAATGACATTGCCATGGGTGCATGCTACAAACCACCCAACCAAACAGAGGAAATAGATGAAATATTAGCTAATCAGTTAGCCACAGTGGTGGGATTCAGCCAGTTCGCACCACTTCGGGAGAACCGGTTGTTAACTTTCTGAGCAATTTGGCAAACTGGTTGTTGGAAGAAATCATTAGGGCAGAGAACCGGTTGTTAAATTACTTGAATCCCATCAGTGGTTAGCCACCATGTGCACAAAATACACAATAGTAATGGGACAGTATAACTACTCTGACATCAACCGGGAGACTAACTCTACATCTAATGGAATATCAAAGAGGTTCCTGACAAACCTAGCAGACCTAACTTTGTCTCCAAAGATAGAGAAGGGAACTAGAGGGTCAGCCATACTGGACTTAATTTTCACTAACAGAGATTAAATGATAGAAGCAATCAAAGTTATAGGAACCTTAAGTGAGAATGACCATGCAATATCAGAAGTCAACATAATGCAAGCTGAAGCAATAAAACAAAGTCAAACTGGAGTCTTGGACTTCAAGAGAGTTGATTTCAATAAACTTAGAGATAGAATAAAATAGAATAGAATTCTTTGTTGGCCAAGTATGATTGGACACACAAGGAATTTGTCTTGGTGCATACGCTCTCAGTGTACATAAAAGAAAAGATACATTCGTCAAAAATTATACAACACTTAATGATAGTTGTAGGGAAACAGTCAATATAAATCTTAAGGGTACCAGCAACAAGGTTACAGTCATATAGTCATAAGTGGGAGGAGATGGGTGATAGGAACAATGAGAAGATTAATAGTAGTGCAGACTTAGTAACTAGTTTGACAGTGTTGAGGGAATTATTTGTTTAGCAGAGTGATGACATTCGGGGAAAAATTGTTCTTGTGCCTTGTTGTTCTGGTGTGCAGTGCTCTACAGCATCGTTTTGAGGGTAGGAGTTGAAACTGTTTATGTCCAGGATGCTAGGGGTCTGTAAATATTTTCACAGCCCTCTTTTTGACTTGTACAATATACAGGTCCTCAATGGAAGGCAGGTTGGTAGCAATTGTTTTTTCTGCAGTTCTAATTATCCTCTGAAGTCTGTGTCTGTCTTGTTGGGTTGCAGAACCAAACCAGACAGTTATAGAGGTGCAGATGACAGACTCAATAATTCCTCTGTGGAACTGTATCAGCAGCTCCTTGGGCAGTTTGAGCTTTCTGAGTTGGTGTAGAAAGAACATTCTTTGTTATGCTTTTTTAATGACGTTTTTGATGTTGGGTGTCCATTTTAGGTCGTGAGATATGGTAGAACCTAGAAATCTGAAGACTCTACTGTTGATACTATGTTGTCTAGTATTGTAAGAGGTGGTAGTATGGGAAGGTTTCTCCTAAAGTCCACCATCATTTCTACGGTTTTGAGAGTATTCAGTTCCAGATTTCTGGTTGCACCACGAGGCTAGTCATTCAATCTCCCTTCTGTATGTGGATTCATCATTGTCTCGAATGAGACCGATCACTGTTGTGTCATCTGCAAGCTTCAGTAGTTTAACAGATGGATCGTTTGAGATGCAATCTTTGGTATATAGAGAGAAGAGAAGTGGAGAGAGCACACAGCCTTGTGAGGCCGCTGTGCTAATTGTACAGGTATCTGATGTGATTCTGCTTAGCTTCACCTGCTGCTTCCTGTCTGTTAGGAAACTTATGATCCATTTACAAGTGTGTTCAGATACCGCTAGCTGGTTTAGCTTAGTTAGAAGAATGTCTGGAATGATGGTGTTGAATGCTGAACTAAAGTCTCAAAGGGGACCCTTGCATAGGTCTTTGGAGATTCAAGATGTTGTAGGATGTAGTGCAGAGCCATATTAACAGCATCATCTGTTGATCTATTTGCTCTGTATGCAAATTGCAGGAGGTCTAACAGCAGATCCGTGATGGTTTTCAAGTGAGACAGCACTAGCCTTTCAAAGATTTTCATAACTACAGATGTTAGAGCAACTGGTCTGTAGTCGTTCAGTTCCTTGATAGTGGGCTTCTTCAGCACTGGGATGATAGTAGAGCATTTGAAGCAAGAAGGAACATAGCACATCTCTAGCGATTTATTGAAGATATAGGTGAAGATGGGGGCCAATTGGTCAGCACAGACTTTTAAGCAAGGAGTTATCTTGTCTGGCCTGGAGCTTTTCCTGGCTTTTGTCTGCGAAATAGGTCTTACACTTCCCTGGGATCAGTTGTAGGAGGTTTGGCTGTTGTTGGTGTGTCTGAGATGAGGGTTGTGGAGATAGGTGGCTGTAGTTTCAAACCTGCAGTAAAACACGTTCAGGTCATCTGCCAGTTGTTGATTTCCTTCAGTCTAGGAAGAAGATTTGCCATAACCGGTGATATTTTTAAGAGTTTTCCACGTTTGCTGGTTCATTTGTTGAGAACTGATTCTTTAGCTTTTCAGAGTAGCTTCTTTTTGCTGCTCTGATCTCCCTTATTAATACATTTCCGGACTGATTGTACAGCATTTTATCAGAAAAGAGAGTGCTTCAGAGAGATTCCATGAATGAAAATCCTCGTAGGAAATTTTGAAAAGTGAGATTATAAAAGCCCAGTCCAACACAACACCAATGAAGAAGAAAAATAAAAGATCTCAAAAGAAACCAGCATAGCTATACAAAGGATTTTCTAACTAAAAGACAAAAAGAAAAAGTGTAAAAAGTGGGAAGAAGGACACATAACTAAGGCAGAATATCTGTATACAGGCTATACTCACTAAAATGAGGTCAGGAAAGCTAAAGCCAGAGGTGGGCTGCTGCCGGTTTCGACCACAGTTCATCGAACCGGCAAATTCCACCACTGATTGGCCCCACCCACCCCAGCCCACCCTATTTCATGTTCAGGGAGCACAATCGACTCCTCCAACTCCCAATGCCCAAACCGGCGAGCTGAAAGAGAGATTCTCCATCATGCTGGTGAGTACATACGGACCACGTGGGCTTTTTGCTTCCCCCCCTCACCTCCCCATCCCAATTGAGCATGACGCAGACAGCTGAATAGAGGCAGAAAATGGGCTGTTTCCACTGGCCCTTTTCTTTTTTTTCTCCTAGCCTCCTTTTGCGAACATGCACCAGGCAGGCTCAGCAGGCAGTCATGATCTTTAAATGAGTTTTTATTTTGTCAGCCAAAGGGGGGAAAGGGGCTCAGAATGGTGCATAGGAAATCGCCCTGTCTCTGCCGCATCTCCCCATCTGCACCGCCCCACCTTGCGTGAGTGATGTTGAGTTGGCCACACCCACTCAGTCACATAACCCCCCCAAGCCATGCCCACCCAACCAGTCAGTAGGCGAACCAGTTGTTAAATTAATTGCAGCCCACAATTGGCTAAGGCTCAGAAGGAACTAAGGCTTACAACCAATGTCAAAAATAATAGAAGAAGCTTTTTTCAATATGTAAAAAGCAAGGAAACAACCAAGGAAACAATCAGTCCACTAATAGGAGAAGATGGCAAGGATAAGAAGCAATGGATGGACATTAGTTCAAGGAGAGATCTAACCTAGAAATAAGGAGAAATTTCCTGAAAGTTAGAGCAATTAATCAATAGAGTTGTGAATGCTCCATCACTGGAGGTTTTTAAGCGAGATTGGACAACCATTTGTCTGAAATGGTATAGGATAGGGGTCCCCAACCCTGAGCTGTGGACCGGTACCAGTCTACAGTCCATTGAAAACTGGGCCGCACAAATGATAGGCAAATATGCGAAGCTTCATTTGCACCTGAATGGGAGCTAGGCTGCACACACAAAATCATCCCCTCCCTCCCCATCCCAATGTGGTCGCCACTGCTGCTGCTGGTCTGTGGAGCCAGAACTGTTGGGGGCTGCTAGTATAAGCTCTCCTGTTTGAGCTGGGGGTTGAACCAGACTCCAAGGTCCCTTCCAATTCTGTTACTATATTCTCTATGTTTCACATATATCCACACATTTTTTTAGAATTGAATATTAACACAAATTATACATCTTATTCACTAATAAAAGCACAAATCAATACATCCATTTTTTCCCCTTTTCTGACCATAGGTAAAAGTAAAGGTTCCCCTCACACATACGTGCTAATTGTTCCCGACTCATTTCCTTTTCTAAGCCAAAGAGCCAGCACTGTCTGATGACAATTCCATGGTCATGTGGCTGGCATGACTAAATGCCGAAGGCGCACGGAACGCTGTTACCTTTCCACTAAGGTGGTCCCTATTTTTCTACTTGCATTTTTACATGCTTTCGAACTGTTAGATTGGCAGAAGCTGGGGCAAGTAACGGGAGCTCACTCTGTTATGTGATAGGGATTCGAACCACCGAACGTCCGGCCTTTCTGATTGACAAGTTCAGTATCTTAGCCACTGAGTCACCACATCCCCTTCTGAGCCACCACATCGTTCCCCACACCCTTTTTTCCCCCCTTGACCATACATTCTATATATTGCCACTCAACTCTTATCTAAATAGCATTTCTACTGATTTTTGTGCTTGGAGGCTGAAGTGCTTAGTGCTTTTATTCCAAGTTAACTGTGGTGAGAGGGGAGTAATAAGAAATCTTCAGTTTTCCTTTTGTTTCTTTTTAATAAATAAGCATGCTATATAAAGTATAATCTGTTTGTGGCACTTCTTACCTTCACCTACCATAGAAACACCTACAGACATCCCCATGAATTTGCTTTTGGTCCATACATGAACATTCACACACACTTTCTTCTCTTTGCACTCGCAGTAAAAACTGGTTACTGGTGGATGATGGGATACTTGTTCAGCTACAAATCTCAGCCTATAACATTCCGATGAAGCTTGCCCCTTGAGACCACAAGAGGCAGTGTTTGCTCTGACTGGTTTTACTCTGTCCTTAGGCACATTCCAAGAGCAATGAAATGTTTCTCCAATTATTGGATTATATGGCTTCTTGGCAACAACTCCTTTTCGGCCCTCATAAAAAGCTGTCAAATAGTACTCCACAAAGGAGATGATTCTTTCCTCAGGAGTGATTCCACACGAAATTGATAAAAATAGGTCTGGATGGGCCAAGAAGTTTGCAAACATCTCCAGCAGAGACCTCTTCTCTAAAATAAAGGCTGGAAGGACTACCTATATTGAACACAGTAAAAAGAAAGTAATCATTTCATCATAACTGCTGAAGAAAAGATCAAGCTAGCAGCAATTCTTTGCAGAATGCAAACATCAATCTTTTCTCCCCTTTTCAGAATTCAAGAATAAAGACAAAAGAACAACTGTGTTATAACTAGTCAATTATGCAAATCAGTCTATTTCTCCAATCCTTACTAGTCCTTCAAGTAACAAAATTATATTATTCAAACTGCCTATTTTTTTCTCACTACTTTCCACTTAAGTAGTCAATTAGACAACTACAGGTAGTCCTCAATTTACAACAGTTCATTTAGTTACCATTCAAAGTTACAATGGCACTGAAAAAATTGACTTATGACCATTTTTCACACTTACAACCGTTGTAGCATCTCCATGGTCACATAATCAAAATTCAGATGCTTGGCAAGTGGTTCATATTTATGATGGTTGCAATGTCTTGGGGTCATGTGATCCCCTTTTGCAACCTTCTAACAAACAAAGTCAGTGGGAATCCAGATTCACTTAACAATCACGTTACTAATTTAACAAATGCAATGATTCACTTAACAAGAAAGAAAAGTCATAAAATGGGGCAAATTCACTTAACAAAAGTCTCAGTTAAAAACATAAATGTTGGGCTCAATTGTGGTCATAATTCAAGAACTACCTGTAATGAATTCTTCTTAGATATAGAAAAATATTTATGGCTCAGGGTTAAATGATAGGTCTTTGGTAGTTTCTGAGCTTGGTTGTTTTCTTGCAGATGTTTCATTACCGAAACTAGATAACATCATCATTACTGAGCACTGATGATGTTACCTAGTTTGGGTAATGAAACGTCTGCAAAAAAACAATCAAGCTCAAAAAATACCAAAAATTAGACAACTGTTCACTGATCACATTTATAATTGTGCAAAGTAACAGAACAGCTTGATTTAAGTTAATTAAATTCCAGAAGAACCTGCCAATTCCAGCAGGTTGACAGGATGTATGTTTTCAATAAATCTATTTATCAAAGAATAGCAAACAGGTGCAGTGTTTCATTACTGATAAAAATCAAGTTGATTGTAATAGTCACAGGGGTCTCCAACCTTTTCAAGTGGGAGGGGGGAGAAGATTGTTTCACATAAGCAGTGAGTGCACACACTTGCAAGTGCATGCACCCACACAAATGGAGCTTCCCACTCTAGCACGAGGGTCTGACACTTGTGCAAAAGGAGTTTCCCATGTGAGCATAAGCACCTGCTGCTCGCACAAGTGGAGCTACGGGCAGTGCGCCCACCACTTGCGTGGACCGGTTCCACACAGGCCATGGCCCAGATTTTGGGAATCCCTGGCTTAAATGATTCAATTTGTTCAATAACAAGTAAAATATAGTATTTTGAAAATAAATTCTTCTCATCGTTCCTATCATCCAACTCCTCCCACTTATGACTGTATGACTGTAACCTTGTTGCTGGTATCCTTACAATTTATATTGACTGTTTCCTAATATGATTTGATTGCTTATGTGCAGCCTATGCACCCTATGACTATCATTAAGTGATATCATAGATGATTCTTGATGAATGTATCTTTTATTTTATGTACACTGAGAGCGTATGCACCAAGACAAATTCCTTGTGTGTCCAATCACACTTGCTCTGCTCTGCTCTGCTCTGCTCTGCTCTGCTCTGCTCTGCTCTGCTCTATTCTATTCTATTCTATTCTATTCTATTCTATTCTATTCTATTCTATTCTAAATAGAGTGTCAGGGTTCTGACCGATGCCCTAATTAAATCATGAGCCTCGAGCCAAACTTCAAAAGAAATCTAGTTATTTATTAGGAGCTTCATGTCAGCACATACCAAGTGAAGCCAACTCTGACCTCACTTAATTCATGCTCCAGCTCTGACCCTGTTTATCCCTCCCCCCAAGGTGTGTCATCAGTCACATTCCCCATTGAAGCAATTTCGCAGGTTGTAGAGACCCTCCCTTAGGCCACTGTGGTATCCATGGAGATGGCCTTGATATAGAGATGGCCAGATGTGTTTTTGTTTTGACTGAAGTGCGATTCCCTCACTGCAGCTGTGAGGTTCCGTTCCCCATCCCTCTGCCTATGGCAACTCAAGAGCAGATCAAGAATGCTTCACGAGTTGACATAGATTTTCAGCTAATTTGGAGTTACTATACTTTCAATTTTTTTTAAAAAATGAAATTATTATCAAAGAAAATATTAATAAGCACACATAATTAATTATCTAGGTATATTTAACTGTATTAGTGAGATAATTAAAATTATTAATTCTCACTCTATTGCTATCATATTATTCATTCTGACTGAGATGTTTTCCATCCTGTCTTCAATTAGCTAATAATATTTAAATATTATTTTATTCCAGCATGTGTAAGCAAAATTACACATTTCATTTGTATCTCTACTTCAAATAGCACTTTCCTATTAAATTCAATATATGAGATCAAGCCAACAAGCTCTTTCTTTTCATGCATTATTCAGGAAAGTGGTCTAAATACTGGTGTATTCAATTTCTTCATTGATCAAAGTAAGTTATTTGCTGACCTTTCAATATTCCAAAGCACATTCAAGAGAACAGACCAATGTAATTAGAGCTTTTTTCAGTACCGTATTATTAAAGCACAGATTAAATACTAGGCTCGTTGTTCTTTATTTGTTACATTCTAATATATGACATTTTTCCAACAGTCTCAAAATTAAAACATTTTAAAATATATGAAAATTAGACAAAATAAATGTTAATATTTTCATGCTGTATATAAATAGCTAATGTAGAAGAAAATTACATGAGTAGTCAATAGGCAGACTGGTTAATCACAGCTAACAATTGCACTTGGTTGCCACTGTAGCAGCTCTTACTGATTGGAAAGATACATATGTGATCATTAGCACAAACAGAAAGGTATCCCAGTCTCAAGTCCTCTGACATTTGCTAACTATTGAGAAAAAGGTATCTCTTTTTTGAATTTATTCAAGTTCTAATGAATGTACATCAGTGGTGGGATTCAGCCAGTTCGCACCACTTCGGGAGAACCAGTTGTTAACTTTCTGAGCAGTTTGGCAAACTGGTTGTTGGAAGAAATCATTAGGGCAGAGAACCGGTTGTTAAATTACTTGAATTCCACCACTGATGTACATATATCTCATTGTTCCTATTTTGGCACAAAGAGAGATTAGTATTCAAAGAATATACCCCAGAGTACATTTTCACAAGTTTGGTTTCTGACTCAAAAATTGGGGTGTGTGGAAATTTTGATGTAATAATTTTGATCGTGTGTGAAGGATGACCACATTTACCTAACCCTGAGTTCTTGTCTTCTATAGATCAAATTTAGATTGTTTTCAAAGGTTCAAGTTCACTTTGTCCGTGGATATGTATCTGTGTGTGTGATGTGTCACAGATGTGTGATTCTGTTCTATGTATCTTGGATGTCTTCAAACCTCTCCTTGAGAAATCATAAAGGCTTAAAAACAATGTTCTAAATCAGTGAAAATGGTTAATTTGAGTGATTTGACTTTCTAATAAAACAAACTGTTATTAATTTAATTAACCTTCTCGTGGCTTTGAGCATTCTTCCTTGACTATGAACTTAAATGTTTCGTTATATATTATTTGTTAATAATATAAAGGATTAAAATAAAATTTTAATTTTCACATGCCTAGCAAGCTGAAAAGTACATATGGAACACTTACACTATATAAATGTATAGATTAACAGTGAGGGAATTATCAAAAGTTACAAGGTTAGAAGTTTATTCTATACAAAAATAGTTTTCCTACAAACATGTGTTTCATTACTTTGTTTTTTAAAAAAGCAGAATTCCAACAGTCTAGTTCAGCATTTTCTCTTTATTTTTTTCCTAGAAGTGGATATATCTCAATAGCAAGTATCCAGCTACTTCCCAGGAACAACTGGAAACACATACAGTATACCAGAAATATTTAAAAAGCCAGTTTTGATTCTGGGACTGTGAATTATGAAGAAGAATGGTTACTTTTACATTATAATGAGACTGAATGTAAAAGTTTTCTGTCCCTGAAAAATACATTACCTGTTTAAAAAGTTAGGGTTTTATATATATACAAAATTGGGAAAGCAGTAAACATCATGATAGCAAGTATCACAGATACGGAGTAAAATCACAAAAAAGGTTGAAACAAACACATACCCTAGTTAGATCCATGCCAAGTTTCAGTTGTGAGATAATATGAAGGATTACACTACGCTGATCATCCAAGTCTCCTAAATCGTCCTCTTCATTGTCTTCAGTGTCTGTCACCTCATCTTCAACCAGAATCACTTCACGAGTTGTATGCTAAAAAATAGAATATAGTTAGTATTCTGGACATAAATAGAACAATATGGCATATATTCCAATAAGCTTATTGTGGCATTCTTTAAAAACACTGTGATTACTTCTAAAAAGTCATGCAAAACTAACTAACCCATTAGCACAGACCTGATGTTTTCTATATGTATGGAATGGGACTACAATATGTTGACCAAAAATCTTAGAAACTGTGATTCCAATATATTTTTAGAGTATTAACCTCAGGAAAGCTTAATTTAAAATGTCAAAGAATATTAATAGGTTCTACGCTCTAGGGTCATAAAAAGAATCATCAGAATGAATTTGAGCTTTACTAATAAAATCATCAAACCTTTAAAATAAATAATCGTATTCATATCAGTAAGTATACCAGTAAATATATTCTTTTCCTTCTAATCTATCTGGAAACTATGGAAACTAACTATGAAATAAATATATAAAGAACCAAATACGTACAAAAATAAAAAATGAGTCTGTTATATTTTCTTTAAAAAGAAACTCTTTCAGTTGTATTAAAAATAGATCAATACCAGGCATAAGATTGTAATGTATTCTTTTGTCTTATGTTGAAAATAATGGCAAATGCATATCTATTCATTCATTCAAGCACAAGCTAGTATTTCAGATACAATGCTATGTTAATTACTTTAAGAAGTCAAACATAAAATTTATCATCAAGAAGCAATAAATGTTATTTAAAAGTAAGTCTAATTTTATAAATTTGAAATTTCCATTCCAGGATCAGAATCATTATTCAGAAGTATTCAAGCCATCAATTATTTGATTGTCCAGCTTGGTCTTGGGTAGGTTGACAGAATAAACACATTCCTAAAAATACTACAATCAATCTAGTACATGGGATATTCTGATGCTCTTACGTTTGTTAAAAATGCAGTGGTTCCATTGTAGCAGAGGTGGTATTCAGCAGTTCGCACCGGTTGGTGCAAACTGTTGGTGGAAATTTGGCAAATTTCCTTTGTTTTTTTTTTTAAATAAATTTATTTTCATTTTTAAAAATACAATACTTTACATATATACATACAAGGTTATTGCAACTAACGTACACAAATTTCAAATTTCCTGAACCGGTCCCCCAGTCGCTGCTCACTCGCCCCACCCACCATATTCATTGCCACCATGTTCTTCACGCACGCGCATCCCATTGCCTTGCAAGTCCAATGGGATGTGCATGCGTGAAGAACATGGTGGCGACGGCAACAGCTTTTTCCGTGACCTCTGGTAGTTTTCAGAGGCTTCTTTGCCAGCCACTTTCCAGCAGCAGCGGCTGACTGGGGGCCACCAAAAACTCCAGTCAGCTTGCCTTCCGGACTCTGGACCAGCTACCGCGGAAGGTAAGCAGCCCAAACAAAGAGGTGCTGGTGGGGGAGGAAGCGGGGCTAGGGCCGGGGCCACTAATGGAGGGGATACAGAGGCGACTGGCGAAGGGAGGGCGGGGGTAGATAGGTGGAAATTCCAAAAATTTTCCTACCATTTCCTGTGGGCATGGCTAGGTGGGGGAGGACATGTGACTGAGTGGGTGTGGGTGATGTCAAGTCGGCCATGCCCACTCAGTCACATGAACCCACCTTGCCACGCCCACCGAACTGAAAATTTTTGAAACCTACCATTGCATTGTAGCAACTGTTCTTGAATCTGAACAAACACACAATTTGAAGGAGATTTACCATCTACATTTTACCAGACAATCAGGATCCATTATAAATCTGAAGCAATTATATTAAATGCAAGTCACTTCCATAAGTCACTGTGTAAAAATAAACTACCACTGAAAAATAATAGGACTCTAAATGTTACAGGAGCTCCATATATTCATTTAAAATGAATGAGTTGCTTGACAATGAAATGGGCAACATATAAATTTAATAAACAACAAAAAACAACCAAATGAATAAATAAATAAAATTATTACAGTGTTTCTCAACCTTGGCAACTTTTAGAAGCATTGACTTTAACTCTCAGAATTCCCAGCCAGCATGGGGAATCGGCATGGCGGGCTAGAGGTTTCTGGGAGTTAAAGTTCACACTTCCAAAAGCTCGCAAGGTTAAGAATAGTGTGTTAATAGCTCACCTGAAAAGTAATTACAAAAATGTAAGCTTACAAAAAAGTCTATATTAAATATAATTAGATAATTGCAATGGTTATGGAAAAGGCATTTTTTTCTGTGATATATGCCAATAGGACAATATACTCTTGCATATCAGTATTGCTTTAAGCAGATAATCTATTTCATTTTTCATGGTATCAGAAAATGAATCTTTTAACTTAATACACAACAAAAAAGCTACCCATTATAATTCTTTAGTAGACAAATCTAATTTATCAAATATAAAGCATTACATACATTTTAATATAAAAATGAAAGGGAAATCAGGTGAGCTAGGAGAGTCTATAATATATTATCAAGAATGGCTTCAAAACCTACAAAAATTATTATTATTGCTGGCTTACTTATCATCCATCTCAAGTTCAGTAAACATACAAACATAACTACTGTTTTCAGCTACATTGTTAGTTTCTCTCTAGCAGGCAGGTGGTGCTAAAGATTAGCAATATTCAAAAAAGTCTCAATCCCACTTTCCTGTTCCAATTTTACTCCTAAATTATAGCCTGTATAATTTCCAGTGAATGAGGAAATGTATGCTGTTAATTTAGCATGTCCGCTACTTACATTGGTAGCCAATGTACCTATACAGATAGTCCTCGACTTATAATCATAACTGAGTCCAAAATGTATGTTGTTAAGTGAAACATTTCTTGTGAGTTTGCCCCATTTTATGACCTTTCTTAGGTGAATCACTGCAGCTAATAAGTTGGGATACAGCAATGGTCATAAACAGGAACCAATTACCAAGCGTCTGAATTTTGATCACATGATCAGGGGGATGCTGCAAAGGTCGTAACTATGAAAAAAGGTCATAAGTCACTTTTTTCAATGCTGCTGTAACTTTGAACAGTCACTAAACAAACTGTTTTATTTATTATTATTTATTAATTAATTAAATTTCTATACCGCCCTTCTCCAAATAGGACTCAGGGCGGTGCACAGCCTAAGTAAAAACAGAGCATACAAAATTTAAAAAACAGTATTAAAATAATTAAATATTCTGGCCGTAAATTAAAACAACCCAATTTAAAATCAATTTAAAATTTAGCTCAAGCCAGTCCAGCTAGTTGAAATAAATAGGTTTTCAGGGCCCGACGAAAAATCCGGAGGTCTGTTATTATACATAACTCTGGGGGAAGGTTATTCCAGAGGGTGGGCGCCGTCACAGAGAAGGCTCTCCCCCTGGGGGTCGCCAGCCAACATTGTCTGGCGGACGGCACCCTGAGGAGGCCCACTCTGTGCGAGCGTACTGGCCGGTGGGAGGCTATTGGTGGCAGAAGGCGGTCTCGTAAGTACCCCGGCCCTAAGCCATGGAGCGCTTTAAAGGTGGTCACCAACACCTTGAAGCGCATCCGGAAGACCACCGGGAGCCAGTGCAGCTCGCGCAGGAGAGGTGTCACATGGGAGCGTGTCGCCCCCATAATCCCCCGCGTGGCCGCGTTCTGGACCAGCTGGAGCCTCCGGGTGCACCCCAGGGGGAGCCCCATGTAGAGAGCGTTGCAGTAGTCCAGGCGGGAAGTGACTAGTGCCTGAGTGACTGTGCGTAGAGAGTCCCGATCTAGAAAGGGGCGCAACTGGCGTATCAGGCGAACCTGATAAAAAGCCCCCGTGGCCAGGAGGACACCCAAGTTGCAAGCCCTCTCCCTGGGGGCGAGTGATTCGCCCCCAATAGCCAGCGATGGCGTCAGCTGGCTATATCGGGACGCTGGAAGCCACAGCCACTCAGTCTTGGAGGGGTTGAGTCGGAGCCTGTTTCTCCCATCCAGGCCCACACGGCCTCCAGGCACTGGGACATCATTTCAAGGGCATCGTTGGGGTGGCCTGGGGTGGAGATGTACAGCTGGGTGTCATCAGCGTACTGATGGAACTCCACCCCGAAGTCACGGATGATCTCACCCAGCGGCTTTACATAAATGTTGAACAGAAGGGGCGAGAGGACCAACCCTTGTGGCACCCCACAAGCAAGGTGCCTCAGGGTCGACCGCTGTCCCCCCGTCAACACAGATTGCGACCGGTCAGAGAGGTAGGAGGAGAACCACTGCAGAATGGTGCCCCCCACCCCCAACCCCGCCAACCGGTGCAACATGATACCATGGTCGATGGTATCAAAAGCCGCTGAGAGGTCTAAGAGGACCAGGATAGAGGAGCAACCCCTATCCCGAGCCCTCCAGAGATCATCCACCAACGCGACCAATGCCGTTTCCGTGCTGTGCCCAGGCCGGAAGCCGGACTGGAGCGGGTCTAGATAGACAGTTTCATCCAGGTACCGGGGAAGCTGTTGCGCTACTACACTCTCAACAACCTTCGCAACAAAGCGAAGGTTGGAGACTGGACGATAGTTAGCCAAAACAGCCGGATCCAGAGAGGGCTTCTTGAGGAGGGGCCTCACAACCGCTTCTTTCAAAGCGGCCGGCAGGACCCCCTCACTCAAAGAAGCGTTAACAATCTTCTGGAGCCAGCCTCGTGTCACCTCCCAGGAAGCCAGTACCAACCAGGAGGGACACAGGTCCAATAAACATGTGGTCGCGTTCAGCCATCCCAGGACCCTGTCCATGTCCTCGGGAGCCACAGGATCGAACTCCCCCCAGATAACACTCTCAAGACCTGCCTCATTCATCCCGTCCGGACATACCCAGTCAGAGGCCAGCCCTTCCCGAATCTGAGCAATTTTGTCATACAGATACTGCACAAAGTCCTCAGCTCGGCCCTGCAAGGGGTCATCCCGCGCTTCCAGATGGAGGAGGGAGCGGGTCACCCTAAACAGGGCGGCCGGGCGATTATCTGATGACGCAATAAGAGCGGCAAAATAGCTAGATTTTGCCGCTTTTATCGCCACTAGGTAGGTCTTAATATGAGACC